AGCCCTCCCCTATTGCTGATCCTTTTGCCTGGAAGAGCTAACTCTTACTACTCCTCAAGGAAACCTTCCCTGGGTCTCCAGATTGAATTAGTTTCCCTTTATACACAGGTATAGTAGACTATGCTTTTTCCACATTGCACGTATGCAAACTGAAATTATTTCATTCTAGGTATGGTTTAGCCATTAATGCCTATATCCCCATAACCCTTCTACCAGACGGTGAGCTCTTTGAGGACATACATCATGTCTATTTTGTTTTCTAATGCTTAACATATGTCCAGTACATACCATGTATTTACAAACACCTGTTGAATAAACAAAGGAACGCATGGCCTGACGATGATCATGGATAGGTGTATTAGTTATCTATTGCTGAGGTCAGCAATCCAGGCAAGGCTTGCCTGGGGCCTCTGCTGAAGGTGCCTCAAGAGGCTGCAGTCAAACCACGGAGGGCAGGTGGGCAACGAGCAGGCCCAGGGGCCGGGAGGCTGCGGGCAGTGGCGCTGTGCCCGGCGCAGCCAGAGAGGCCCCGAGATGCCGAGCAAGAGGAGGTACAACATGTGGCTCCCACCGGCCCGGATCAAGAAGATCGTGTCGACGGATGAAGAGATTGGGAAGGCGGCGGCGGCTGTGCCTGTCATCCTCTGTCGGGCGCTCGAGCTTTTCCTGGAGTCACCGTGAAAGAAGGCCTGCCAGTGACCCAGTCCTGAAATGCCAAGACCGTGACCACATCCCACCGGAAGCAGTGCATTGAGCTGGAGCAGCAGTTTGACTTCTTGAAGGATCTGGTGGCATCCGTGCCTGACATGTAGGGGGATGGGGAAGGCAACCACATGGGTGGGAACAAGGGTCCCCACAGGGGCCGGAAGCCAGGCACAGGCAGCCGGAAGAATGGTGGGATGCGAAGCAGAGGCAAAGACAAGAAGCTGTCAGGGACAGACTCACAGCAGGAGGATGTCTGAGGATACAGATACTGACGGGGAAGAAGAGACACCACTGGCCCCATCCCAGGCCAGCCACCTCCCTGCCCACTTCCAGAGCCCCCCTGCCACCCTTCATGCCCTTCACCTCGACTCTGCCTCTGCCTCCAGCACCCTGCCACCCAGGCCACACCTGCTTTTAGCTGGGTTTAGTTGCTTTGGGGGAGAGAGAGAAGTTAGAGCTGTCCTTAAGTTTATTATGGGATGAATGGATAAAGAAGACATGGCACATATATACAATGGAATGTTACTCAGCCACAAAAAGAAACGAAATTGAGCTATTTGTAGTGAGGTGGATGGACCTAGAGTCGGTCATACAGAGTGAAGTAAGTCAGAAAGAGAAAGACAAATACCGTACGCTAACACATATATATGGAATTTAAGAAAAAAAATGTCATGAAGAACCTAGGGGTAAGACAGGAATAAAGACACAGACCTACTGGAGAACGGACTTGAGGATATGGGGAGGGGAAGGGTGAGCTGTGACAAAGCGAGAGAGAGGCACGGACATATATACACTACCAAACGTAAGGTCGATAGCTAGTGGGAAGCAGCCGCATAGCACAGGGAGATCAGCTCGGTGCTTTGTGACCGCCTGGAGGGGTGGGATAGGGAGGGTGGGAGGGAGGGAGACGCAAGAGGGAAGAGATACGGGACATATGTATATGTATAACTGGTTCACTTTGTTACACAGCAGAAAGTAACACACCATTGTAGAGCAATTATACCCCAATAAAGATGTAAAAAAAAAATTAAAAATTAAAAAAAAAGTTTATTAATAAAATAATAATAAAAGGGGGGAAAAAAGGCTACAGTCAAGGGGTTGGCCAGGGCTGGAGTCTCACCTGAAGGCCCATCTGAATAAGGATCCACTTCCAAGCCCACGCGGTTGTTGGCAGGATTCAGTTCCACGTGGGCTACTGGGCTTCGGGCGCCATTCCTTACTGGCTGTCAGCCTAAGCCTACCCTCAGTTCTGTGCCGTGTGGATCTCCCCACAGGGCAGTTCACAGCATGGCAGCTCGCTTCAGAGCCCGCAGGAGAGAGCCTGCTAGCAAGAACATCACAGTCTTATGGAATGTAATCGTGGAAGGGACATCCATTGCTTTCGCCATGGTCTGTCGGTTAGAAGAGAGGCACAGGTCTTGCCTATACTCAAGGGGAGGAGATGACCCAGATGGTGTGAATATGGGGGCAGGTTACTGGGGACCTGTCTGCCGTCGTAGTTATCAGAGCAGACGAGAAAGTCCACTTAACTTGGCAGTGCTCTCGGTTCACCACAAACAGGCCGTCAGATTGCCTGGGAACCTCATTTAGCAAATTGTATACTGATTATATTTGTGTGTGTAATTTCCCTATGCCTGTTTTATTTCCTGTGCATTTTTATTGTGCTTTATAAGTCTTCTGCAGCCCACAGGTAATAGATGCTACGGGCAAACTAAAAAACAAGCCCAAGAATGTTCTGAATCATCTGTAATTCTAAATTACCTGAGCTGCCCAGAATCATACAATTTCTCCTTCTCTATTAACCCTTCTGCCTGTTCAGCAATAACTCTAAAAACTTCTTTGGGAATATGATGAGCATATTTGGTACCAGAAAGTCGAATATTAAAATGGATGTAGTTGGGTTTTTTTCCAGGAGATGTATTTAATACTTGCATTATATATTACGTGTCTTTCCACGTGGGAATCTTTTCAGAAACCAGATAGATTTCTCAAAGCATAAATTCATCGTCATGTGGAGGTAGAATGAAAGGTTTCATTGGCATTTCAAATAAGCATTCCTTTTCCTCTGCCATTCTTCTTAGAGCAGCGATTCGTTAGCAACATTATATGCTTCCCCCAATCTTTCTATAATGTACACTCCTTTCAAATGACAGTGGATGGCCACTTCTTTAGCCAAATTGGACTATTCTGTTTTAATCTTTTCTCAGAAATTATTCCTCCTGAATCATTTGATTAGCTTTCTGTCCTCTCTTCTGTTTTGCTTTTAGTTTCATGATTTATAATATAATAGCTGCTAGGATGAAAAAAAAATGCAGACATGCACGAAGAAGAAAATACCCCCCAAAACATTAGAATATTTCACCCTTTTGTTGAGGAGGGGGTACATAGAAAACTATTGATCTTAGTCAAGGCCAGGCTAAAGCAAAGTTTTGTGGGGTTTTTTTTTTTTTTCCTTCCTGGTCCCAGTCTCCTACTACCTATTTTTGACAGCCTTCCCTTGGGAGTCAAGAGTGCTTGGTTACTCAACAGTGCAAAGGTCCCCCTCACTACTGAGTCTTGGTTATGGTGCTGTTTGAGTGTTTGCCTGAGTAAAGCTCTTCTCAGGAATTTATATAACCCAAGATACGAGTGCTGCTTTTTCCCTGATGTTTATTAAACAATTGACCTGAATTACATTCAGCCTCCATGGTTTTCATCCATGGCCCTCTTTTTTACTTTTCAGCAAGGTTTGCATTTATGATTTTCTCCCAAACCCCATGACCCCACTCTGGTGGCTCATGCTCCGGGCCTCCTCTGCGCATCCCTTCACTCCAGTGCAGTGGGAGCTCAGGCTCCGAGAGGCTGTGTTCTGGAGTGGAAGGCACACAGCTACAGAGCCAGATCAGATCTCAACTCTGCCATTCACTCATTCATTCGTTCATTCCTCCATTATTTTCTGAGCACCTGGTACCAAGCCTTAGGAGTAGGGATTATATGGGATATACTGTGACCTAGCCCAGTTTCCTCCTCTGTAAAAAGGGGGAAATGACAAAGTTGTTGGGAGGAATAGACATAATGCATGTAAAGCACCCAGTAGGATGCCTGGTACACAGCAATGCTCTGCATATGGTAGCTAGAGCTACACCTAACTATGCTGTCCTGGCCACATCACACCACCGCCATATCCAGCTTCACAGATCCTACTCTGTGTTTTTAGAGTCACTGAATCCTTTTTGTTCCCCAGTTTCCCCTTCATTTCTGATGAGACTAGGAAAATTAATCATTTTGTTTATACTGAGTAGCCATGGATGCAGAGAAATGTACTATATTCCCTTTAAGATAATACTTGATGCAAAAGAACTCTCTTTGCCACTTTTAGTCAACCACAGTTCTTCTGGGCTTTATGTCCTCATCATCCAGTATCTCCTGCCACTTTCAAGATCACAGTGCTTCTAGACATTCGAGACCTGATCTCTAATTCTAGACCTTGATAACAACTGGGAGTCTAGGTTATATCGAACAGTACAAATCACAGTTCATAGGAAAGAAGGAAGGGAAAGTGATCGGGCGTCTAATACAGGCACCATACTTAAAGTTTTCACATACATTTCATCCTCAGAACAACCCTGGGAGGTAGGCTCATTGAGAGTCAACAATTTGCCGAGTCTCACAGAGTTCTTAGGGACAGAGCAGAGAATTAAACCCAGTATTCTGACTCTGAAATCAGTGCTAAATTCATATGGCTTCCATAGAGATATAGACAGTATCTGTAACTAGTTTATTTTGTCTCCAGATGTCTTTATTCACAGACTGTCCTAAATTTGTTTCTTCTCAAGCAGGTTGTAGACCTCAGCAACAATGCTCTGACCGCCATTCTGCCGATGATGATCATGGCTCTGGAACTTCCCCACCTGGAGGCTGATTTGGCTGTTAATCAGTGGCAGTGTGACTATAGCGTGGAAGTCTTCCAAAATGTTATTTCTGGATCCTGGAGAAAAAAGTGGAATGCAATTTGCAACAAGTCTGTTGGTAAGTCAGTAGTGCCTCTTCTCTCAGAAATGGTTCCATTTAAACAGAAAAGAGACATGAAAAATTTAGTCTCATTTGAAACAATGACAGTCCCCCCAGAAGCAAGAGTGCTGATCTATGGCATTAGTCATCCTTGGGCTGTATCACAGAAAAATCATTGGTACCTAACTGTTCTCCTCAGTTCATGAACGAGTTTCTTCACATGGTCAGAGAAACCTAGTTCAGCTAGCTCAGAAAGCACTGAATTTGGTCAAAACCAGAAATTTCACAAAGAGAGAATTCTTCCCTAAAGCCCCAAAATGTCATATTTTTATCCCAAATATTAATAAAATAACTGATCAGAGAAAGGACTTCTAAAACTTGAAACATAATTATTTAAAATGCTGGCTAACCCTCTGAAAGTATAATCCTACACCTACACAAAACACACATATTTCAAAAGTATATTTTTCTTTGATTTGTTTGCTGCCACTCTCCCAAACTGCTAGAATATGTTACTGCAACTGAATATTTTGGAAAGCTTTCCACACATACACACACACACCCCCACTATTAACTATCTTGGTTAATTCTCAAGCTCTTAACTGAGGGGGGGGGGGGGGGG